TAGGCTCATGCAGGATTTTGTCCATCAGCAGTAGGGCCCTTTGGGGTTATGCCAATCCGGCCGGATCTCGGCTCTCGCAAACTGCATCCGCGACCTCCACACCCAGGCTGAAAGGCACTAAACCCTACCGTAACCCGGAATAACCTACCCTTTTAAGGACTTATATAAGGAAGTCATAATAAGGAACCTAAGAAGGTAGATTTTTCAGGGTTAAGGTAGACGCTAATATAGGGGCCTTGACAACTCGAAGAGGGTTTTGAGGGCATGTTATACTAAACATATATTAACGAACCCCCACAACGGTATTGGTAATTATTTAGGCCCCCATATTACGAGCTCTAAACCCTGAACCCTATTGAGCCCTAACCATGGACCTCGGCACGGCTACCCCCTAACGGTCCTAAGTGCCTCCCTGTAGGGTCATATCCTACCCCTTCTTTCGGGGTACTTGCTTTTCTATACAGCAGATGAGAGGGCATGACCCTCCAGGTATATAGTTGAATGTAGGGTCTCGAAATTTGGAATCATGACTGTGATTTCGGAAAGTGTCCCCACCTTTGGGCTCAGAGACAACAACTACTGAGTTCCGGCCAGGTGGTAAGAGGACTGCCAAAGAACTTTTCAATCCCCACCAGGCTTGCAGTCGCGCCTGTCTCCCTCTATTCGTCTCTCTCTCTCTCTCTCCCCGCCCCCTCTCCATGCATATATCCTCTCTCTCTCTCTCTCTCTCTCTCTCTCTCTCTCTTTCTCTCCGTTCCCCTCCCCCTGTCGCCTCTCTATGTGTGTATATTATATATATATATATATATATATATATATATATATTCTATATCAGTCTTATACGAAGATCTACGAAACAGCTCCGAACGGGACATGTCACATACTGCTATGCGCGAGATCATGCCGGAGAAGCAAGACCGTGCTATGCAAATCGCAATTCATCCGGAAGATGCCGCTGCAGTAGCTTCCCGAGCAGGCATCGAGGTTCAAAGGGGAAAAGGAGGGACCCTTAATGGGGACCCCTACCCTATAATGGGCTATATAATGGGTATATAATAGTTATATCAAGGGTATGTATTTAGGGGTCCTTATTAAGGGTCCCTCCTTTTGCCCTTGGAGAGGTGAAGGGCATGCGGTTGAACCCCTAAAGCCCCAAACCCCCCCCCAGCCCTCCAAGAAGAGATTCTAAACTGACCCCTGCACCGCGCACTGGGGCCCAAAGGACGTGGCATTCAATCTTCTGACGGAATGCATGTCTCACAAAATTAGCTTCTATCCGGTGTTGAGTCCTGCAATGCTAATGCGTACAGGGGCTCCGAAAACATGAGACTGTGTGACGGACTCCAGGACAGTTGAACCTCAAGATCTTACTCTAAGCCCTGCACCCGGAACCTGGACCCTAAACTCTATCGAGCAAACCAAAAGCCAAGGTTGAACAAGATCAAAGCACTCCATGACAACTTCAATCTCGAAACTTGTCCGTGTGGCCTCAACGGTAGCTGGCGAACTTGCTAGACGTGGTCTGAAATTGAAGCTGCTGCGGTTATCTTTAATCCGAAACCCTGAAAGAAATTTCTAGAAGTGACAGCTTTGTACCAAATAGCATGCAACACCTCGTAGCGGAACTTCCCCTGGGGTTGAGGCAGTCTTTGAGCCACGAGAAGCTATTCTTCAGCGGGATCTTCGCAGCGACATTTGGGGAGTTTCTGAAAATAGGGGACCCTAATCTAGCACTTTAAATAGTAGGATCCATATTATAAGGACCCCAAAATAAGGTACCCCTAATTTTTGGAAACTCTCATTTGTGAGACTGTCTCTGCACCGGCTTTGGCTGTCGTTGTCTTTGTCGGCTCTGAGCACATGGAAGACTGTTATATTTGTAACCAGTATTATTGACATGTTATTGGAGACACGCTGGCCAGAGGCAAACCCGAGAGGGAAGCCTAATTACATACTATTTGGGGGGGGTCCGGTCGGTATAAACAAATAAACAAATAAATAAATATAAATATATATATATATATATATATATATGTAAACAAGTATATATATATATATATAAGTATATATATATATATATATAAGTATATATATATATATATACTACACCCCCAAAGGCCCTATTCGAATTATTCATGCGCCTATATTGGAGGGGCTTCTTGCACGAGGGAAGCTTGAGGGTCTCCAGCTGACCACAAAAGTCCCACTCATCCATGAACCCAAAGGGGAACAGGAGGGACCCTAAATGGGGACCCCTACCCTGTAATGGGCTATATAATGGGTATATAATAGCTATATTAAGGGTATATTCCTAGGGGTCCTTATTAAGGGTCCCTCCTTGGCATGAACTGCCCACCCATAGGTTCCGGTCCTAGGTATCGTTATGACCTGCGGATCCAAATACACGGTTTTAAGGGTTCTACCTTCTAATTAAGGGGCCATATCCTACTATTCTGTAGGGTTTGGGGTCACAGGGAGGGATACTTGTTTCTGGATATAGAAACCCTACATTCTACTTTAGAGGAACTTGGGACTCTTATATAGGGCCGTGCAACTACTTTGGCAGAATCACAAATACCGGTTGTGTTGCTCTTTCTTAGTTATGATCCGTGTCCATGTCAGAGCATAGGAAGAACAGGGTTAGGGTTATGTAGGACGTGGGGTTGAGGCCCTGTCCTCTTTGACTTTGATTGTGTGCAAAGCCTGCGCTGGCTTGATTTGCAATCCGCGATGGGTTCTGCCGTGCTGCGAGCTGCACAGGGTCCAGCGAAAAAGGGCATCGGCGACAGAAGGGACACTTGGCAGCAGCTTCTCAGATCTCAGAAATCATGAAATGCTCTTTCACTAGTGAAGTCTGAGGCGAAGCCCCGGAGCCCGCACTTACATGCCCAGACCCAGCTCCACAAAGAGTAGGCTTTGTGGTGAGGTCTTTTGCTCCGTTCAGCTCCTGCCAAGTGCGCAGTGATCGAACCGGGAGCTACTTCGGCTCTACACCGCGTGCAAATCGGGTGCTATTGAAGGAAGGACATCAACTTCGGGTTGAATCAAGCTTCAATCGAAGTAGGACTCATCGCTCACCAAAACCACGCACTGCAAGTTCAACGGTTGATGCTATGGTATGTTAGGACGAAGGAAACGCATGTCTATGTGGTCCTGTCCCTTGCAGTCATACTGTACACTGCGCATTCACTCCAACCAGGAGTGGTACCCGCAAGCCGTCACAGTGGATTCTCAATGATTCTCACCACTGTGTGAAGCAGGAAAGACTTACGGCTCATATAAATGCAAAAGTGCCGTGCCCTCTATGATCATTGCATCTGCCACTAGAGGTGCGTGGAACCACCACGAATCCCAATTGCGATAGGGTGATGATGACGACAAGTTGCATGTTAAAGCTAGCAATGATGCTGGTGATGATGGTGGTGACAGTGATGACGATGCTGATAGGATCATGATGATGCTGATGGCGATGACGGTCATGACAGTGATGAGGCTAATGGCGGTGATCGTAATGATGGAGCTGATGGAAATGACGATGATGGCCATTATGATGAACCGCGATGACGATGATGACCACCCATCCTGCAGGTGTGTTCCCCAAACTGCATGGAAGATCTGCTCCCCCTCGCCCCGCGGATTTGCCATTGATGACATGATGCGATGATGCGGATTAGAGACTATAGATTATGTAACATGCCGTTTCCAATATTATATATTACAGATTGAGTTGAAGCAATGCGAGGTTGTCATGAGTTTTCATCGGATGACGTGAGGGTGTCGAGCAGTGGTTGCCCCTCGGCTTTGCCTGAGGTTGCTTCTTGTCTCTTAAACAATCTTGATTACGTTGTAAATTTGTATACACGTGTATATTTATACATACACGCATACACACATACTCAGATACACACATACACAAATGCATACACACACACACGCGCACGTACGTACATACATACACAAACGCATGCATCCGTGCATCCGCACATCCGTCCATCCATCCATCCATCCATCCATCCATCCATGCGTGGATCCCCCATCCATCCATCCATACACACGTACTCGTATGAATATGTGTATATATATATATATGCACACATACAAACACACATACAAATACATATTATACACATATGCATGTATATTGATATATATGTTAACGGTTAACGCATCGGGCAGTCATGTCTGTGAATCTCGCCAGTACATGAAGGAAGCATTGTCGCCAGGGAAAGCATCGTGGGAAGGGCGGGGGGAGAAGCATTCTGAGCACGGGTTCGTATTTATGAAGAAGGGATGGATCCATGGATGCATGGAGGGATGGATGGACGGACCGACATTGCATGCTGGAACGGATACGAAAGGATACGTGGACGAATGCATGAACGGTGGATGGATAAATGGATGGACGGACGGACGGACGGATGGATGGATGGATGGATGGATGACATTTAGCTACCTCACTGTTCTGAGCGCTTTCGTTGCATGAACTAAGTGATCGTGCCGGCAAAGCCCATTCCACTGGCAAAGCCCATCCACTGGACAAGCTTGCAAGCCAGCAAGGATCGGATAAGATGACAGATAATAACTGTGATAGCTGAAGAGGTCACAAGCCTTTTCCAAACAACTCCTACTCCTTACAGGTAATATAGGGGCCGTCACAATTGGAATGGCGTTTTGGGGCAAATTGTGGTTTGTGTAAATAAAGAACCCTAAGCAGTAACCCTATAAGCAACAGTATTGATTGTTCGTGATCCACCCCCCCCGCTTACACTGAACTCCAAAACTACATTGACCAAACTTCAGAATCCGTAACGCCAGTCGTAAACCAGACACCGTCACCTTTTGAACCCTGGGGGTGGAAGGTAAAGCCAGACCCAAAATGCAATAACATTTTTGGGGATAACCTACTTCAAGGATCCTAGAATCAAGAACGAAGATAATGAATTGAATACCAAGTAGGTTCTAGGGTCTCGAGGTATCCGCTGAACCCTCGACGGACCTCATCAGCTATCTTTGGCATTCGTATCAGATGAGTTTGATGTCCGATTGCGCAGGTTGCGGAATCCAAAGCCTGAGCGCCAGCGTCTGAAACGACTTAAAGTTTCAGAGTTGACGCGTTCAAGGGCTTATACTGATAGAAGCAAAAAGGTTCTTAAGGGTGTTCGAGAATGGACACAAAATTACCGGGAGACTTGTGGTGGGTTCAGGGTTCTAAAGTTCTAAAACCGAAAACATCCGCAGAAACCCAAGCGATTCATCGGTTTTTTGCCGCGATCCATATAAAGCCCGAACCCAGGATCTGAAACCCGCAACACATTAAAGGCATAGGGCACAGGCCGTCCACCTACTGTGGGTGGGCGGCACTTATAGCCCATCGCAATCGATCCCGAAAGACCGACCACGTCCCCACAAACATGAGGACAGCAGCACTTTGGTCCGACTCAGTACCCTTCATGCCCTGTTTGTCTGGAAGGAAGAAAGCCCGTTCTAGCATGAGTTTAAGCCTCAACGCGGTGGTTTGGCCGCCTCAGACTGCGTATCTCATCGCCATATTACGATGCACTCGACACATCCGTGTCGCAAGATGCTATCGCCTACGCGCTGTTCCTCGGCGCACCCCTGAAACCATACTTAAAGGATCATGGGACTTAGTAAGTATGGTTATAAGTACCTCAGTTGGGGTTATAAGCAATTACAAGTATAGTTACCCCAATAATAACCCCTAGCCCTAAGGCTCCATGTACCCATATAGTATATACTTAGGCCTTAAAGTACCTATATAGGGACCCCTTGAAGGCCTAAGTATCTACTATAAACGTACACGGAGCCTTTGGGTAGTGAAGTCTAAAGGAGCCGAGTGGCTGCCAGTGCTGGTGGACCGAGCATTGTCTGGTGTGCCGGGACCGACACCTCATCCCGGTTTAGGAGTTTAGGGGCTAGGGTTTAGGAGTTTAGGGGTTTAGGGGTTTAGGGTCTCGGGGTTAGGGGTGAGGGGTTAGGAGTTTAGGGAAGGGTTTAGGGGTTTAGGGGTTTATGAAGCGGTCGTCGGACGATCCAGGCGAGACGGTTTAGGGTTTAGGGGTTTAGGGGTGAAGGGTTTAAGGGTTTAGGGTTTAGGGGTTTCGGGTTTAGGGGTTTAAGTTTAGGGTTTAGGGGTTTAGGGGTTTAGGGGTTTGGGGGTTTAGGGGTTCAGGGTTTGGGGTTTAGGGGTTTAAAGGTTTAGGGGTTTAGGGTTTAGGGGTTTAGGGTTTAGGGTGTAGGGGTTTCGGGGTTTAGACCAAATGCCAAAGCATGGAAGGAGCAATGTAGGAGCCTGACATTTAAAAGTGTACATTACATATAGCCTACTTTCTGGTATACAGTGTAATATTAGTAACTATAGGGCCCCTCGTTGCCGGTTTCAAGAAGAACTGGTTGCTGCCTTTGCTGTTCAACACCGTCTCTTTCCAGAAACCTCAGCCGAACCTGCTACCATTCGCGACCCTGGCAAGACCAAGCTAACTCATTGCTCTTGCGTTGCAGTGCAAAGCACTCCGCTATGTGCGGTGGTATGCGGTGTCTCTGTATCTACTGACTGGTCCAATGTTAATAGGCGAATGCAGCACGTGGAGATGCCTGCCATCCATAGCAGCTGCTCTTGAATCTTCTTGAGCTCCGCCTGCGTAGCACGCTGATGGACTTAGTACACCTTGGCAGCAATAGAAGAAGGTCCCTGACCAATACACAAGCAGTGCACATGACAAAAGCCTTGGCAACATGATGGGCTCCTGCCCAACATCATCGCCAAACCATGCCATCACTTTGGCATTTAAATTAGCAACATGACACCTATACTGAGAAGGCGACACGATCCCTGAACCCTAACTTGCCTAATCCGGCCCATTTCCCCTGCTTTGGGCCTCCACATAGGTCTGGAACTTGCCGTGCGTGCCTCGTCGAACCAGAAGCTTTTGACATGCTTCGGCTGGAGTTTGGCTTGCGAGGAGCCGTAGCAGTAGCAGTACTGCTGATGGACAAAATCCTGCATGACCCTAAGGACTCTAAACTATGGGAACTATGGTAACTATGGTATATTCCTTATAATGGGTAATGCAAGGTTTTGTCCATCAACAGTAGTTTTAAGGTGTGGTGTCTTAGGGTTTCAGGGCTGGGGCTTGTAATACTGTTGATGATATAAATCCTGCATTACCTTAAGGACCCTAAACTATGGGAATTGTGGTATATTCCTTATACTTATTATGGGTCATGCAAGATTTATATCATCAACCGTAGTATGATTAGGTTTAGGGTCCCTGAACCGCCAAGGGCTCGAGGTTTTGAGACCTGTGATTGTCTCCCTAAGGCTCCATGTGCGCGTAAAGTTGGCAGGTGCCTAAGCCTTAAAGTGTTTATGATTATGTATATTTATGAACTTATTTCAGGACCCTTTTGAGGTTTGAATGTAGACTACATAGGCACATGGAGCCTTAGGTTTTCGTTTTTGTTTGAGTTTCAATGCGCGAGGACGGTAGAGGCCCCTCAAAGGAAATCGTATAAACCAAGATGTAGAGGCTGAGTCGGCTGAGTAGCTTCTCCCTGAGGAGAAGGTTGAATCATTAGATAGCCATGGTAGACCCCAGGCAGAAATGTCAAACACCAGCCCTGCGGCAGGCCGAACTGGAAGACTGCAGGAGAATCAGTAGAGGCCACCTGATGCCCCTAAGGAGACTTGGCAGAATCCTGCACCACTCTCCCAAATCCAAGTTCCAAGTATCTGGGTTTCCCTAAACCCTAAACACTGTAAACCCTAATTCAAGCCTCGGGATGAGGGTCTATGGCTGTAGGATCCTGATCTCCTTAAGCCGAAACCAATCTAAGCTTTCCGTTTCAAGGGCTCTACAAGAGTACAAGGTGTTAATCATTCGAATAAGGACTTCCTGAAGGGTTCCTTGTGCAGTTGATCACAAGAAATAGAGCCGAGAGTCAGGATAGTCGTCTGGTAGCTTCGTAGCTTATATTGAGACCCCGAAAACGCACGGATGCAAAAATAAGGATAGTGATAACCCCCTTATAATGAAGCCCAATAAGGCAGGGCTATCCCTCTAACATGCTCATGCTTCTGTGCTTTTGGTGTCCCTGATAAGCAGATATCCCAGAGTGCCATAGCCATGAGTCACCAATCCACCCAGAAATGGTATGACGGTATGACAGAAAACTGACCGGGCACTTTCGCAGTACATACCATCTGGAGTGCTACTCTGGCTTGCAGCAACATCAGCACCTTTCGGCAAGAAGTGCACCATCGAGATCTAGTGCCCCAGAATAAAACGAATGTTGCAAGGTGAATACTGTTGATGATATAAATCCTGCATTACCTTAAAGACCTTAAACTATGAAAATTATGGTATATTTGTTATTATGAGTAATGCAGGATTTATATCATCAACCGATACCAACCCTTGATGTAAAGCCGGGTCTCGGATAAGCCAAGTTTGATCCTGAGCATTCGGAGTTCCGTTGGTTTCAGCGGAACTAACGGTGCACGCCAGAGGCGTGGACAACTGCTTCCCCTGAGGGGCCTAAGTATCGAATATGTAGTAGAATGTAGGAACGTCTATACTAATTATTAGGAATCATGAATTATGATCTGGGAACGTACCCGCAATCGCAGTACCTAGGACCTGTCAAATTCGGCGCTTTTCAAAGTCTTCTGGCAATTTGCCAGGTTGGCTTTGGAATTCCGATACCCGGTCCATCTGGTTGGAGGACGTGCTGGGGCTTTGCAGAAAACGTGGCAGAAGCCCGCAAATGGACTCGACACGTTCAGTGTTTGTCAGAAATGCCATGGTATACCTACCTCCACGGACCACTTTTTGTGAGGAGCTGCCGCAATCTGGGGGTTAGGGCTCGGCAAAGTCCTGGGTCTCAGGTTCTAAACCACCCAAACCCGCTTAGGGTTTAAGGTCCAGCCATACGGGTCCATGTACCCGAATAGTAAATACTGTTTGGCCTTAAAGTACTCCCTATATAGGTACATTGGGCCCACAGCATATACTATTTGGGTTTGGGATTGAGCCACGGTTTAGGGTTTAAGGATTTAAGGTTTAGGGTGATCCGATTCGGGCATACTGCGCCAGGACGAAAGTTCGTCGCATCCGGTAGGTCTGCTAACACATACTTGCAAACCCCTTTCCCCCGTAAACTCCTTCACGAAGTCGCGATGTCAGGCAAGGACGTCACTAATTCCTCCACGATGTCGCGATGTCAGGCAAGGACGTCACTAATTCCTCCCTCGGAACAAAAAACAGTGTATGCTTATTTTGGCATGGAAATTCCTCCGCCGGCCAGGCCACGTAAAATGCACTTCTTCGTACTCCGAATCCTCCGCCAAGCAAAGACATCTTAGTGCGACAAAACTTTCATCCTGCTGATGTATCCATCCAAAACAAATCTTCAGCCTTCAGCCGATGGAGTGTGGATGGCTTAAACCCTAAGGCTCCATGTGACTCCATGTACCCATATAGTATATGCTTAGGCCTTAAAGTACCTATATTATAGGGACCTCTTTAAGGCTTACGTAAAGGTACATGGAGCCTTTGGGAAACCCCTTAGCACAAGCCCCGCCGCGCCAAAATCCTGAACCCCGAAGCCCGAAACCCTCCCCCGCAACCCAAACCCTGAAACCGGAAGCAGTAGTAGTAGTAGTAGTAGTAGTCGTAGTAGTAGTAGTAAGTAGTAGTAGTACTAGTAGTACTCGTAGTACTAGTAGTAGCAGCAGCAGCAGCAGCAGCAGGAGTAGTAGTAGTAGTAGTAGTAGTAGTAGTAGTAGTAGTAGTAGTCATCGTCGTCTAGTAGTACAGTAGTAGCCCAAATTCTCCTCCACAAGCCCACCCAGAAGCCGGAAACCCGGAAACTTGTGGGAGCGAGCATCATGGATGAGTTTGCCGACGTCAATTGCGCGGGCGGTTCCACGTAGGCGAAGGCAGCCCATTAAAAACTCCTGGTTTTGAAATTGTATAGGGTCTTAAACGCTGAGGGTTTGGGGATTGGACATGTATAGGGCCGTAGACGCTGTTATAGGGTGTAGGTAGGGTTTAAGTTTAAGAACTCCTTTGATTTCGGTGTTTTGCGAGTTTTATCCGGTTTTGCAGCGTGCAAACCTATCATGTTTTTGAAGGGTTTAGGAGGTAAACCCTAAACCCTAAACCCCTAAACCCTAAACCTTGCAATGGGCAGTGGAAGGCCTGGCTTCGCTGCGGATCTACTTCAGGGATGACCTGGGGAGTACAGCATGCACCTTACCTAAAGGCTCCTTGTACCTTTATGGTAGATACTTAAGCCTTAAAAGGGTCCCTATTTAGGTACTTTAAAGCCTAAGTATATACTATATGGGTACATGGAGCCTTAGGGTTACGGATCCCTGTCGCTTATAAGATACTGCACAAGGTAGATTTTTCGAGCCCGCGCAGGCTATGTTTCTGGATAGATTGGCCGTCACACTCGCCATGTGGGTAGTTGTCAAAATTAAAGTCTCTTTTTGGGTACGCCAAATATTAGGTGCCGTATTATACTAGGGACCCCAAAAGGGACCATAATTTTGACAACCACCCATGTATATACTCGCGGCAAAGATCACAAGCTCCGACGGCCCCTGCGAGGGGCAGTCCGACGTCTGACATGCCGCCTTTAGCGTTTAGGGTTTAGGGTTGCTTGTACCAGATTTCGGGCACTGCTACCGCCACCACAAAGCCCTGATAATGCGAGCAATACCAAGCTGTCATGCACAAAGCTGTATGTTGCTGAAGGCCCGTGTGGCCTCATCATGTTTATAATACAGGGTCCTGACAAGTACCACGCAACAGTGTGTCCCTGCGGTCCCTCCCAAACTGTAGTAGCATAAATACTGTACCCCCCAAATCCTATTCCCAAGTACAAAAGCCCCAATAGTTGATCTTGAATCCTGACCACCTCAAACACATATGCAAACTAAACCTGCCACCGTAAGTTCGCAAGACCTGACTTCCAAAGCCCTAAATCCTATGCTACTACGATTACTACGACAACAACAACAACTACTACTACTACTGCTACTACTACTACTACTACTACTACTACTACTACTACTACTGCTACTACTACTACTACTACTACTACTACGACGCTTTCAGCAACGCCCTAATTTAACCGCCAACCTCAACTCTTCGACCTACACAGGCGCATCGAGGTGTCCTCAATCTCCACATCACCCCCGTCATCGAGGTCCAAGAGCTTGAAGAAAGACCATGCCTTATTAAACAAGTAAGATATAAGGCGCAATATAAAACCCATGTTATATATGTCTATATATGTATGTGTGTATGTATTTATGTATGTATGTATGTATATATGTATGTATGTGTGTATGTGTGTATGTGTGTGTATGTGTATGTGTATGTGTATGTGTATGTATATGTAAATGTATATGTACATGTATATGTATATGTATATGTATATGTATATGTGCATGTATATGTATATGTAAATGTATATGCATATGTATATGTATATGTATATGTATATGTGTATGTATGTGTATGTATATGTATGTATATGTATGCATGCATGCATGCATGCATCCACACACACACATATGAATATATGTATAGATAAACATACACATACACACACATGCATCCGTACATACCTACATATATACATAGAATATGATATGCTATAATATATATATAGTATGAGGTCATATAACATCATGAAAGCACTATATATATATATATATATATATGTATATGTATATGTATATGTATATGTATGTATGTACATATGTATATAACACGAGAGAGAGAGAGAGAGAGAGAGAGAGAGAGAGAGAGAGAGAGAGAGAGAGAGAGAGAGAGAGAGAGAGAGAGAGAGAGAGAGAGAGAGAGAGGAGAGAGAGTGAGAGAGAGAGAGAGCGCGAGAGAGCATATATATATATATATATACACACACATACATACATACATGCATACATAGATACATACATACGTACATACATACATACATACACTGCAATTGGGATTTCTATTGGGGTGCTGCAAGCGGCTGGGCCAAGGGATCTCAGCGGTTGGATAAGGTTTGCAGATTTGTATTGGGAGAAGGGAGTTTCCGAGAATTCGGTGTGTCTTACTTTGGGGGTCCTTATCATGAAGATCCTACTTAGGGTACTTATTTTAGGGTCCCCTATTTTCGGGAACTCCCAGAATGCCTTAATAAGGGGGGGGTGGCGGGCAGTTCACGGGTGTTTGCCGAAATTTAGGGTTTAGGTTTCAGGCTTTAGGTTCCAAAAGGGCGAGAATTCCCCCGGGCTGCGACCTATATAGATACGAACAAAAACCCTAAACTCTAAACCGTCTATACGAAATGGGAGTTTCCGAAAATATAAATAAGGGACCCTAATATAGTACCCTAGATAGTAGGATCCTTGCTATAAGGAATAAGGTACCCCAGGTTTCGGAAACTCCCAAATATGCAGAACACCATGGTCTCCTCGTCGGGATATCGAAGTTGTTAGAGTTCTGGGTGTTGGGGTCCATCCCAGCCTGGCTGGCTAAACCCTAAACCCTAAACCGTCCCAGCTTGGCTAGGGCGAGAAGGTTGAGCAGGGCTTGTTCTGAACACCTGGGACCCGGGCCCTGGCCTCAAAGTTGCTACCCAAAGGCTCCATGTAGCTTTATAGTAAATACTTAGGCCTTAAAGGGGGTCCTCATATAGGTACTTTAAGGCCTAAGTACTCTATGGGCACATGGAGCCCTAGGGAAGGTAGCTAAATACGGCCTGCATTCAGGCCGAGAAGTATATACTCTATGTGTACATGCACCCTTAGTGGAAGGCTTCCTCCTCCGGAGAAGCCTCGGAACCCTAAACCCTAAATCCTAAACCCTAAATCCTAAACCCTAAATCCTAAACCCTAAATCCTAAACCCTAAATCCTAAACCCTAAATCCTAAACCCTAAACCCCTAGCCGAGGCGCATCCCACACATCGAGACCCAAGACTTCGAAGTAGGCTTTCACAGCCGGCGAGTTGATCTTCTCTTCGAACATGGCAAAGGTGATTATACCTAGGTTGGCCCTTGAACGATCTTTAAAGCCTCTGAAAAATATTCGTAAATAGGATCCTAGTAAACCTAATAGGGGAAAATATAAAATGTCCCAAAGGCCTACCTAGATACCTGTTTGGTCGTCGCCGATGGAGTTGAAGAGGGCCCGGATCTTCTGAATGTGAGCTTGCCTTAGTTGCTGAGTTCAAGAAGTCTCAAAATTTGTACACTTTCGGTTCTATAAGGGTTATGCCAAAAAGTGTATAAAGTGTATGTACTCACTCAGCTCCTAAGTTGCTTGTTCTTGAGGATGGAGTGCACGACTGCGGTGTGGTCATTCTGCGCAGACTCGATGGCGGTCTGACAGAACACGCCTCGCTCAGAGAGTGCTCTTAAGGGGCTCCCTTTATAGGGATCTCTAGGGTTCCTTTAAAGGGATCTCTAGGGTTCCTTTAAAGGGATCTCTAGGGTTCCTTTAAAGGGATCTCTAGGGTTCCTTTAAAGGGATCTCTAGGGTTCCTTTAAAGGGATCTCTAGGGTTCCTTTAAAGGGATCTCTAGGGTTCCTTTAATGGGATCTCTAGGGTTCCTTTAAAGGGATCTCTAGGGTTCCCTTTAAAGGGATCTCTAGGGTTCCTTTAAAGGGATCTCTAGGGTTCCTTTAAAGGGATCTCTAGGGTTCCCTTTAAAGGGATCTCTAGGGTTCCTTTAAAGGGATCTCTAGGGTTCCCTTTAAAGGGATCTCTAGGGTTCCCTTTAAAGGGATCTCTAGAGTTCTCTTTAAAGGTATCTCTAGGGTTCCTTTAAAGGGATCTCTAGGGTTCCTTTAAAGGGATCTCTAGGGTTCCTTTAAAGGGATCTATGGGGTTTAGGGTTTAGGGATCCCTTAATTAAGGAATTAGACCTTAAATCATATTATTAGGGCCCTGTTATAATTTAAGGTATATTCCTTAATTAAGGGGTTTTGGAAGGTCTGGGGAGTGCTTTGGGGTTTAGGGATTAGGGTTTAGCCGAGTCTGGGTTCAACAAAAGGTTTAGGGTTTCGATTTATATAGGGTTTAGGGAATCGGGTTGCGGTTTAGGGTTTAGGGCTTGCATCTTTGATACTTAAGGCATATGGAGTTTCCGAAAATAGGGGACCCGAATATAGTACCCTAAATAGTGGGATCCTTGTTATAAGGGCCCCAAAATGAGGTACCTCTAATTTTCGGACACTCCCTGCTCTTTGCAAACATAAACAAATGAGTCGCTGTGTTCCGGTGCAGTCAGAAGCGCAAAGGACACCATCCACAGTCTATCTATCTTTTCACAGACCTACGTAACTGACAGTTAGCCTCAGACACATGCAAACGACAACGAGCACAGGGATAATATCCTTTAATCGTCACCACATGAAAGGACCTGGATCTGTTGCTAAGTGTGTGTGCAAACGGATTCGCACCCCCGGCATGCAGCGGCACATGGTCGATGATGAGCTTGGCTTAGGGAGCACGTGCCGATTGGATGCTACCTGCGACTTCGTTAACAAGCAAAAAACGCCACATGCACAAACATGGCTGTCATCCAACATCAGAGCTTATGCTATCCCTCCTGGATTTCAACCCAAATAGCTAAAACGGTTTAGGGGTGTAGAGTAGAGTTTACGGGGTTAGGAGCGGTAACATCACATTCCAAACATGAATCCGGCATTCTCGTTGACTGGTATTGTAAATGGGCACGTAGGCGCTGGCAACTTTACCCGCGGCTTCAACTGCATCCCCACACTTACCTTTTGGGGGGTACTTAAGTACCATGTTGCTTTGTTTAAGATTGCCCACAGGAACCTAGGTACACATAGCTCAAAACGGGCATATGAACCACAAAAGTGGGTACAAGACCCCATTCTTGCGTCTTGGTTAGCCTGGGTACGGGTACTTGAAGGATCATGGGATTGAGAAAACACATTTATATGTAACTTAATTGGGTTTATAATAAACAAACATAAGTATACTTACCCTCATAATAGCCCTGGCTACTAAGTCCCATAATCCTTTGAGTAGACCCTAAATCCCCCTTTTGAAACCCTTCAAATGAGCCCTTTGAGGAGCCCTTTCAAGGAACCCTAGTTACTGCGTCTCATGATCCTTTCAGCCCTTGAACCCTGTAGATTCTTTATAGAACCATGAAAGCGAGCCCCTCTAGAGCCCTACGGCACCCTTAAATGGAAACCCGAAGTTTCATGATCCTTTGCATAACTAACCCTAACCAAACCCTGAACCCTAAACCCTAAACCCTGAACCCTACCCAAAAGGCCCCATAGTAGTTCCTTTTTGGGAAGTACCTTCTTATAGGATTCTATATATGAACCCCCCAAAAAGGAACTACAGTACTATAGGGCCTCTGGGTAAAGCCTAAACTCCTACTCCTCCTTTATGTCGGCAGGATTGAACCAGTCATGCGATCGATTGCTCCCTTGATCGGGCCAGCGAGTTTATGTGGGGTTCGATAGTTTAAGGGTCCTTTACAGGGATCTATAAGGGGTCCTTTAAAGGGATCTATAAGGGGTCCTTTAAAGGGATCTATAAGGTTTAGGGGCTCAGGGTTGCAGGGCTTCAGGTTTAAAGGTTTAGGGCCTTAGGGTTGTTATTGCAACACCAGAATCTCAGAAGATTCTGTCGACATTAGACAGCAACCTAAGTGGGACGCGAACCTAGAGGGCTGCGTAACATGCAATATGCTGGAGAAAGAAACACATAAAGAAATTAACTGATCTGCCGAGGCTCCAGTGACCACATTTAATACCGCGAAGTACGTGAAACAGATGTAAAACCTCATTTTTCAAAATTTCAAGCTTGCTGGGATCGTATCCACGACCACTGCATGACACCGGGACTTGGCTTCCTTCTCGCGCAACCGAGCCTACGAAACTCACAGCCGAACTTATTGGGGTTTACTCGTGCAGTCCTGCACAGAACTGCGTCATTGACCTTATGCTGCATGCACGCCCTGAGCCCTCAATTGCTGCATGCGACAGGGTCATGTTTCATGTCATCATTCTTCACCCGTACATGGCACCAGCAATGCTTGAAAACCCCGAAGGGTCCAAGTACCAATATAGTAAGTACTTAGTAGATATATGGGCCTCAAAAGTCTATACTATAACTTCACTTGGGCCCTTTGGGAATGTTGCATGCTGTTCCCTCTAAACCCTAAACCCTAAAGCCACGCAGCAAGAAGAGAAAAACCCAGAGCGGCGAGATGACCAGCAAGGGTGCCATGACCTCCGGGATGGTCCAGCTCAGCGGGTTTAGGTAATGCAGGGGCCTCAACAATTAGAATAGGGTTTATAGGGATCTATAGGGGCTCCTTTAAAAGGGATCTATAAGGGTTTTGGGTTTTGGGTTTAAGGTTTGGGGCTTTGGTAGGGTTCGTGATGAACAATTTTAGTGTACCATCCCCCAAACCCTTATTCGAATTAATAAGGCCCCTACATTAGGGTTCAGGGGCCTAGGATTCAGGAGCATAGGGTTTAGGCTTTGGGGGTTAAGGTTTCCGAACTTTAGATTTTGTAGGCGTCGAAGAATGATGCTCGCTTTCGGGGAGCCCAATTCAGAGAGTTTTCGCTGCTTACCAGCTGGTTTCTGGATTTCTGGGTCCTCTAGGTGAGTGATTGTCAAAATTAGGGTCCCTTTGTGGGGTACCCTAAATATTAGGTGCCGTACTAAAATAGGGACCCCAAAAGGGACCATCATTTTGACAGCCGCTCAGGTGGTAGCAGAGTTATTTCTTCTAATTCCGATGCTGCAGTGCCTGGCTCCTCGTGGCTGCCTGCATGAAAAAACTGAAACCGCAGACCTAAACGTAATCTCTATATCTGCGGTAGTAGGGCCTCTCAACAAGTCGCAGTAGGAGTTCGTAGGTACACTGCGCCTAATATAGGGGCCTTAATAATTAGAAGAATAGGGTTTTGGAGCCCAGTATACTGTAATGATAATAAGGAACCCCCAAGATAGTGTAGTATAGGTAATATTGTTTAGGCCCCCATAATATTACAGCATCCTTGTAGTAACCCTTGTAGACCCCTTTAAATTAAAGGAAATCTAAGGGAGCCCTAAGGACCTGTTAAAGAAACGTCCGTATGAAGCTTTTAGCTGTTTCTTAGGGATTATATATAATAACCGAAAATTAAAATTATTTCCAAGTACCCCTAAGTCTACAGGGCTCACGGCTTGCTTGCCGTGCAGGTTTCAAGTTCTGGGTGTGGAGTTTGGCTATATTGGGATTTGGGGTATAAACAAAAGTTCAGCAAGAAACGCTTAAGACTGTCATGCGTCAGACCAAGAAGAGGTGTGTGAGAAAACAGCTCTTTAGTGCAGGGCTAGGGACATTTAATCAGCAAGATTCATCCCATGGCGACAGTCAATCAGTTGACTGCGGCTGTTCCTGCCGCTGCTGCCAGCTGTCGCAAGCCAGCTTCAACAATCCCTATAGACCCAAAGCCTCTCATCCAACAAGGCTTTCCTGGACCCCAAAACTGCAAAATCCCTGAACTCCGCAATCCTAACATAGGGCCCTTTATAATTAGAATAGGGCTTTGGGACCCATTATAATACTACAAATATCATAAGGATCCCCCCGAATAGTATTGGTAATTATTTGGGCCCCTATATTAAAAACTCCTCCGTGCGCCTCGGACCAGTTGATACCGCCAGACACGCCCATGAAAAGGCTCAACATCGTACTTGGCGCGGGATTTGTGGGGTTGAGGGTTTAGGGTTTAGGAGGTTTAGGTGCTTTCAGGGCTTAGTTTAGGGTTTAGGCTGAACCCGTAGTCTCCATTGTAGTTCCCCTTTCTGGTTTAACATACTTTATATCTAGGATCTCAAAAGGTCGCCCAACACAGGAACTACAATGGAGACTACAGGAACGGCGTACTTGTCGAGTCAGGTGTGGTTTGTGATTTCCCGGGCTTTGGTGTCCAGGGTAGCTGTCCTAGGCTTGTAGAGGGGTGTGGGGGGTAGAAGCA